AGGGTCCAAAGGACCCTCATGATTGTAAGACAGACTATCATTCTACTTTCAAAATTAAGTATATTTTTACCTTGTTCTTTTAAACCTCTAGAAAAAGAATAAAAGTCACTAATATCAATTCTTACAGAACTAGAAAAAAGCTCAAAAATATAAATTGGGTCCAATGGACCTTGAGCGTATAATGAAGTATAGATAGCATAATGAAGAGTAAGGTCTCCAATTTTAGTTTAGTCCTACTTAAACACATCCCTGGCTCAAGCGAAGATAAGAATTCAAGAACAGGAAAAGCTGCATTTATTTATTTTTACAGAAGTAGTATTTAAAAACTGGGCTTCCCTGGCAGCTCAGCTGGTAAGGAATCTGCCTGCAGTGCAGAGACCCCGCTCTGAGTCCTGGGTCGGGAAGGTCCCTGGAGAGGGGACAGGCCACCCACCCCCGTATTCTCAGGCTCCCTGGCAGCTCAGCTGGTAAAGAGTCTGCCTGCAGTGCAGAGACCCCGGTCTGGCTCCTGGGTCGGGAAGGTCCCCTGGAGAGGGGACAGGCCACCCACCCCCGTATTCTAGGGCTCCCCTGCTGGCTCAGACAGTCAAGAAACCGCCTGCAACACAGGAGACCTAGGCTGGGGAGGTCCCCTGGAGGACGGCATGGCAACCCACACCAGGATTCTTGCCTGGAGAATCCCATGGACAGAGGAGCCTGGCGGGCTACAGTCCATGGGGTCGCAAAGAGCCAGACACGACTGAGTGACTAAGCACAGCACAGCACAGTATTTAAAAAAAGAAAACTTCAAACAGTACAATTTTAAAAAGTCTGGCTTCTAACACCACCACCAAGAGAAAACTAAAGTTTGAGATAACCTTCAAGATAGAAACCATGCACATGCAAATATACAGATACACACACAGCTGGCGACCTCATTCACTTAACACAAACAATAGCACTATCCTTGCAGTAATGGCTCTGCATCATGGCTCCCCCGCCCATTCAACAGATTATAAGCCTTCTTTTAGGTCCACATAAATAGATCTACCACACTCTGATAGTCTGGGGATAAATGTATTCATTTATTTAAATATTTAACCATTCCCTACGAATGGCCTTATGAGGCTACTTCCTGCTTTTCCCTGTTACAGACATTGTAGCTATGACCATCTTAGTCCTAATGCCTCAACACTGAGTAAGTCATCTTTTATTAATACAAGTCACAGAAGAGAAAAGAAAAGAAAGCAACAGAATAGATAGAACAGAAAAGAACTGCTTTCCCAACTCAGGACCTTTGCACAAGCTGCTCCCTCTGCTGGGAAGTACTTGCCCTGTTCTCCTGTTCATCTTCACCCTGAGCTTAAATGACTTATCCCTTGGTGCACCATCAGCACGCCAACCCAAACAAGACACTCTGTGCTCTCCTGATACGTGCTACTTTCATCCGCGCATTCGTGGCACTTTTTGATGACACTCCATTCAACCGAGCTCCACATGGGCAGGGGCAATGCAGTTGTTTACCTGCAGGGCTGGCCGAACGCAGTGCCTGTTGTCAAGGGGTCAGACTACACCTGTCTCACAGACAGAAACTGCTGGCTTTATTGGCTATGCTCTAGAGAAGATGAACTGATCCACCACACAATCACAAGTCCTAAAATTATCAAGAACAAAACAGACAATTTACTTACAATGAGAACGTCCAACGCAGGTGGGCTGTGGGCAAACAGACCCCTCAGGCCCTGTTGGCAGAGGCCTAAACAGGTACCGTCTTCTTGGTGGGGAACCTGGCCACATACATTACCAGGCAATTCCACTTTGAGGACTATGGCTCACAAAAATAACCAGACATACAACAATGTTCTTCACCACCTATTTTATAACAGGAAAAACTGCAAGTAACCCAAAAATCAAGCTTCTGTTGTTGAAAAACTAAACTGGCATGCTCACACAACGGAGCACTCTGCTGCCGTTGGAAACGCCTTAGAGGCGCGCTGAATATGAGTCCTCCATGGAATTTTAAGTAAATCGCATGAACACATCATAATAAGCACTTCAGTGGGAAAAAAAACAAACAGCGGTTATTGTACAATATCACCCCATTTTTGTGAAACAGACAGGTGTGCGTGCTTACTTACATAGGCCTTGACATCCACAAAAATGTTTACAGTGACTACCTACAAGTGGGAAATTTATTTTGTTTTTTGAAGTTAAAAATTGTTATAATTCATAGGCATTCCTTGTTAAGAACAAAAAATTAAACTTATCTTTTAAAAATGTCTTTCTTCCCCTGCTGCCCACTGTCTGGAGGGCCTGGCAGACCAGCAACAGCTCCATTGGGTGGAAAGCCAAGTGTCTCACTCACAGCTTCAAAGAAAAAGTACTTCTTAAGCACTGTTCGGGCCAGTCGTTGCACCATTACTTCCTAAGGGAACTGTCTCTACTTCAAATCACACAGAACTAGAAAAGGGGTCAGGAGGAGGAAACAAGGGGACAAAAGATGCCCATGACTCCTAAACAAGCTGCGCACAGAAGTCAGAGGAGACGAGGAGAGGGCATCCGCCGCTCCAGCCTCTGCCCTCAGGCCTGAGGCAACCAACTGCTCCAGCGGGCAATGGGTCACTCTAAGGCTCTGACAGGCACCTTCCCTTTGCAGCAATATGGTGAGTTCAAACTTCCAAGGAGGATTCAAAGGCCGAAAACTGCCTAGGAAACACTGACAATATTTAGGACCTGTGATTCCCAAACTCTGACTGTTTGAGTTACTCTTGAGAGCTCATTAAAAAGAAAAAAATAAAAAATAAAAAGTCAGACTTCCCTGGCAGTTCAGTGGTTAAGACTCTGTGCTCCCAATGCAGGCAGCATGTGTTCAATTCCTGGTTAGGGAACTAAGATCCCACATGCCATGTGGCAAGGCCAGGAAAAAAAAGAAGAAAAAAAAAAGCCAGACTCATGGGTCTTAGCCTACTGCATTAGAATCTAGAATCGTGTGGGTTAGGCCAAGGAATTTTTTAAGTTCTCAAGTGATTCCAAAGCAGACGACCCACATACCAGTATTCAGTAATCGTTTAACAACTGCTGGCTAGAAGGAACCAAGAAATACCTACTCCATCTGATTCCAATTAGATTAGCACCAAAGTCAACTCAACAAATGCAAAGCCTCCAAAAATAACTCAAATTTCACTACCTTCAGTGCTTTAACAAATTTCACCACTAAGGACTTCATCCTTTCACTTCAATAAATCCTCCTAAGTTATAGTCCATTCCTTTCTATTTGGTCCTCAGTGAACTCTGAAAATAGAACATCTCTGTTAAAATGTGTGATTGCATTCAAGATGGAAATACACTGAAACAAAAGAAAAACAAAACCTTCCCATGCAGCTAGCCATGAAGCCACAGAGCACTGCCCTGAGCTGGGTGACCCTAGGGGACGGTTGGGCACAACAAACCTTTGCAAGCATCCTGCCAAAGGTCCCCAAACTTCATACCTATCATCACCCATTTGGCCCAACATTCTGTGCAAGATCTTCTGATTGTTTGAGAATTTGTTTCTCTAACAAGAAAAGTCAGATGCTTCCAAGGGACACGTTCAGGAGGCATTTCATGCTGTGATAAACAGAACCATGAAATCACGTTTTCTACTCAGTGGGCTCTCCTGGACGTCTGGGGATCCGACTGCTTTATCAGAGCCAGTCACTAATACTTTGGCCGCTCAACAGCATGGAGTCCTTTTAGTGATGACTTTGTGATGTTCTAAGACCTATATTCCTATTTAGTCACAACATCCTCTATCTATCTTGATCATTTTAAAACACAGCCCCCAGGGGAACGCCCTGGGGGTCCAGTGGACGGGGCTCAGCAGTCTCACTGCCAAGGGCCTGGGCTGGATCCCTGGTTGGGGAATAGTCCCACAAGCTGCACACTGTAGCCAAAAATAAAAAAAATAAGCCCCAGATTCTTTGATACTCCTCTCATCCACAATTGGGGTTTCTCAACATTGTGAACGTACCAACAGTCACTGACCTGTATACTTACAACAGTTAAAACTACGAAATTATGTGAATTTTACATACATACATACATACATAAATAAATAAAAGTGAACTCCTGTAGCCCCTTCTTGAGCCTGGGCTCACGCCTGTTTGACCTACAGGATATGGCAGAAGTAGTGCTGGGCTGAATTCTGGGCCGGGGCCCTGAGACACTGGCGGTGGCTTCCACCTCCTGTCTTCTAGAACGCTCCCTCCTGTCCAGCCTGTCTCGTCTTTCCCTTCCCATTAAATTGCTGTCCTCCCACAGAAAGTTCAACTTGATAAAGTAGACCGAACCACCATACCATGAGGGTGTGTAGAGTCTCTGCTCAGGCCAACCAAGAGGGGAACCAAGGTCGTGGGACCAAGGTCCCCTCTTTGACCGCAGGCGACAGAGCAGCCGCCTGGCGAAAGCGCCACCTCAGAAGAGACCCTCCAGGCCCACGGCACTGCCTCGGCGTGAGCTGCGTGCGGCGGACATGAGGTCTCCGTGCCACGCTCTCCCTGGACCACAGGCCTGTGAGCAGGATAAAGGCCTGGAGGTATTTAAGCCACGAAGTCTTGGGACAGTTCGTTAAGCAGAAATGGTTAATAGGCATTTCAAGATAATACAGAAAACGTCTGATCAAAATGGCTTCAGAAAATCCCCTAACCTGGTACCATAAATCACAGATTCCGACAAGAATAATGTTCAGCACGGAAGAGTTCATCCACGCGTGCTCTTCACCACTCAAGTGAGTCACAATCTTTCTAACATGTTCACTCAGAACTACGCCACTGAGTACACAAGGCGGCACCTGACTTTCCTGCTAGAATTTTTGAGGGGAATGGGAGGCGAGAAAGGCAAGAAACCTACAGGGTACCAAACTTGTACGTTACCTAACAGTGAATATTAAGCACGGCTCTCAACGCACCCTCCTAGAAAACCCAGCCTGAAGCCGTGTCTCCTCGCCCCTCCCGCGCCGGGGCCCCTCGCGGCCGGCGCCTCACCTCCAGCCTCTCGGCGGGGGGCTCACTCTGCAGGATCCTCAGGGCTTTCGCAGCAGCATCGTGCTTCGCAGCCTGTCTCGTCTTTCCCTTCCCATTAAATTGCTGTCCTCCCACAGAAAGTTCAACTTGATAAAGTAAAGGTGGGACTGGAAATGGGTAAAAGTACCTAAAAATAGAAGGGGTGAGGAAAATTAGTCTCAGATAAGTCACCATACAGTCTCTGACAGATTCCAGGTACTTCCTTCATCACAGGTCCTAATTACAGCAGCGTTCGCTTGCCAATAATGAGTCCTCCTCAGCACACCCAGAGATTTCATATGTTTATGCTAGATTAGAATTGCCACACAGTATGAGCAAATACTGTTTACATTTCACAAAATAAGTTGGCTTACAAATTACATGAGTTCAATTTATAAAGCTAACCCATACTTACAAAATCTGAACTGGATTAGACTTTGATTAAGAAAAAAAACTTGACTTGCTCTACTTTCTCGTACCTGAAATTCACCCTTTCATGTCTCCAGAAAAAAATGGAAATTTTTTAACCAAAGTCTTGTAGAAAGGACCCTCATTTCTAGAAATCCCAACAGCCTGGAGCTTGGCAGAGGCTGGTTTCTATTTTTAAAATGGCTTTGGCCTCCACCTCACTCCCACCCCAAAGTAGGGTAGGGAAGTAAAGACCTCCAATTTGATCATCAGTCTCTCCACTAGTGTCTTTAGACCTCGAGCAGAAGGTTTTAAATGCATGGCACCTTCAGATTTCAATTAATATTGCACTGCACCTGTATACCAAGGCCATTTACAAAGCACATAAATAAGTTCAAAAGTAAAAAAGTACCCAGTAAACAATCATCACGACATCTATGAGGGCTGAGAATTATGGTGTCACAGGAATCATGTTCAAATATGACTCAGTTGCACAAAGCAGTTACACGGGTGATCTTTAACCAGACTGCTCGGGGCACAAGCTATACTGCTTGTGAGGAATGTGCTGAAGACCTTTCCAATGAGAGGAGTCAGAAGAGCATCAAAATGCAGCTCCAGTGACACCAGGACAATGCAGACCAACAGCAGCCTTTGGCAGACCAGAGAGGACCAGACCATTTCTACATCAAAGAGCAAATATATTTTCACCTGGATCTAAAACAACACAGACACGTACCTTGGGGGATAAGCACCTCCTCTCATGTTGTAGTTATAGGTGGACTGCATCCGAGAGTAAGGGTCGACAGGCTTATACATTGGTTTTTTCCCAAGTTTCATGCACAGTGCATTTAGTTCTACAGTAGGCGTTAAGCTTTCTGCAACACAGAATCAAAACAAAGAACTTTTTTTCCTGTTATGAGAATGACACTCACTAAAATCAAATAGAACAGCATGCTTTCTACTAATTGGACTCATGATGCATTTCAGGAAAGGCTCTAAGTACTTCACTGCTAGGCATCAGGTCAGGAAATCCAAGAATCTGCTATGATTTCTAGGTATTAATACACAATCAACAGCACAAAATATACAGTAAGGGCTATTGAGGAGCAGCAACGTAACACAAGACGTTAGCAGTGAGAGTCAGTTGTCAGAAACAGGTTCCAATACACATCAAATTTCATGATTAAAAGATCCCACAGGACTGCCCAACTCATTTCATTGTTTGGCAATACTCAACCAATATAACTTTGGTTGTACTGACTGACTGGCTTACACTTAAAAGGATGTCCATACACATTATTTCATAGGACAATTCATTTATTCAGTACTAACTGGAGGCAAAGCACTGTGCTAAGCTTGAGAAACACAATTCTTGTCCCAGAGGGGTCCAGAGAACACAAGACACACTTCAAAAACTACGATACAACGTTATATGTGCTGTAAGGAAAGGTGCAGAATCGCCGAGAAGAATACTGTAAATTCTATCTGGAGAAGTCAGACGAGACCCACAAAATACTTAGATGTCTTCATTCTTAAATATTTATAATGGGATTTGATTTGTGGTAATACTTGTTAGAAAAATGAGTTCTGTTTCCATATACAACAGGAACAAGTTTATCTCAGGTTATCTCAGAATTATCAACTTTAGAAAATACTCATCATTCATCCTTCTCTTTTTTCCCCTCTAAGTTCATCCAATTCATAAACCTTTAAAAATCATTTAAAAAGAAAACCAACCTGGAAAGATTAGTGTCAGTGCACAGTCACATTTAAAATCAACAGCTTCATATCAAACACAGAACAACACTAGCAATGGCAAAGTTCAACTGAAATGCACACAAAAATTCACTTGAAAATGCTTCTTTAGGATGTAGGTAGAGGAAAATAAAAATGACTTGATTCTGTACCATAACTGGTTTGACTAATCTAGTGCATAAATCAAGCTTACAAGAATATCTTTGAGTCTGCAAAGTCAGAGGGTCACATGAGTAATTAGCCTTTTTTTTCCTCTCTTAGCTAACATATGAGGTATATTTTTTACACAATTCAAATAGTTGTGTTTTAAGTAAGAGCAGCTCTGACCCATAAAATTTATCTGCAGCAGAGGGTAAACGTGAAGCAAAGATCCCACAGAGAAAGCGAAAGGATGAGAAAGGCGTGGCCGAGGCCTTCCTGGTCGCTCCTGCGTGCGAAGGGCCCGGCTGACTTCATACACTTGAGGGCGGACTCTCCTACAACAGCCACTTCTACCTACAGCTGCCAGGTCGGCGGTCCCCACACTTTCACAGGACACTCCTCTTCAACAGTATTCTCCCCAACTGGCCCTTGCCTGAAGAGATACTTATCTATTAATCTGAATTTAAGAAATAAATATCTAAATTATTTTCTCATTCTTGTTAATCATCAAGAGACATAACTGACAATCTGGGTTACGATCAACATGTTATAATCAATATTACCACACAAAGTTGAAGTGATTTTAGCTAAAACCCACCTTCTTACAATCTATACAACCCTTATCAAAAGGAAAAAAAAAAATTCCTTTCATTAAGCTTTTCAGAAAGTCTCCAAAATCGTTTGGTGACATTCCCTACCTCCCGTGACCACCTCTCCAGATCATCAGGCATAGAGGGGCTGTAGATTGGGAACCACTGTTTCAGAGTGCGGTTAAGATTCTGAAAAGATAAGCATTTGCCACTGGTAGTGCAGACTCTGTGCTTTCAAAATCAACGAGTTAGTTAAGAAAGAATTCATACACATACTAAACGGATACCTCTAGACACACTTTTGAAAGGAACCTGTCTTGGCCCACGCATAATACCTGGATTTCTTCCTTCGCTACGAAAAGGGCGGACTATAGGTTTAGGAAATTTTGTTCCTTCCAAAGCTTTGGCAGCAGCTGTGTGTTGGGCTTTTTTAATACTAGTTCCTTCAGCTTCCCAGTGCTGATCGCCAAGTGTGAGCTGCACTGTAAACACCTACAAATGAAAATCGTGAGCTCTCAATTCAGGAAACCTGATGTTGGCTACAATATGTCACTCGGACCTTGAACATAACTTATGGTCATGGTTTAAAAGGCCTGGTCATTATCTTTGTAATTTATCTCTTCATCCCCCTTTTCACTGTTTCTAGAAACATGAAAAGATACCTACATCACCAACTTGTATTGCATAGCACTCCATGAAAAAAGTATCTTTTGAAAGATGTGTACAAGTACAGAAATTTAAAACTGTTCTCTTATATATTAAAATATTAAATGTTGATTATCTGGAAGCCATCCAAATAAAAATTGTCTTCCCATTTCTTCTCATGGAAGAAATTTAGCAAGCTTAATTTAGACACATAATAGTACCTCAGACAAACGAAGACAGCATTTGTTGTAATTTTGTTCATTGATTCTTGTCTAAAAATACAACCCCAGCAGGCCAAAACCTCAAGCGAATTTGGGAATGTCATTCAGGTTTTACAAGGCTACCTTTTACTTTCCTAAGACTGTACTATTCAGACACTGCCCCTCCTTTCAGAAGCTGAGATTCACTGCAAGCAAAGACCTAACATTTCTGAACTCAATTCTAAGGAGGCATTCAAAAGAGCTAATTTTGCCCTTAACAACTGCGGACAATGACAACCCTTTTTTTCCTTTTTAAGTATAAAGGGAACTTGTGAGCGCACTCTGTTTGTAAAGTTAGATTATGTTAATCCCATCAGATGGACAAATAATTCATCCAAAAAGCACTAGGACCCACCACAGTGCAGTGATTCTTTAACACTCGTGTGCATCTGAAGAGTAACCCAGGAAGCCTGGTAAGACACACGTGCCAGGGGTTCCGCCTGAGAAGAACAGCATGAGGGGAGGCCTGAGCCTGTGTTTTTAATAAGCTCCCAAAGTCACTCTGACGCACTTCAATGTTTGAGGTTCATCACTTTGGAGCTTCTATTTTTCTGATTTTCTTGATCACGGAATCACTTTATTTCACTTACAAATAATTCACGTGAGAAATGGTGATTTGAGTATGTCCAGGTCATTTAAATTTGGTGCCTCAAGGGATGAGGCTAACTTGCCTTTAGAGCTGATTTTTCTTGTAGGTCTTAACTTCAGGATTCCCTCAGTGCACAGCTTCCACTAAAGGGCGAAAAATTAAAGAATCCTTCACCCCCCTTGAAATATTAGGGGTCTCCTGTATTTATGTTGCAGTTCATAAAGTTACTCATTTAAGCACCAACAGCATGAACTCAAAACCCTGGCTGGCACGAGAAGTCACACCGCGGAAGCAGCCTGCAACGCTGTGATCCCTCCGTCATCTGCGTGACCCTTTCAGGGAAGACATGGAAGGGGGACAGCACTGTAAGACAGAAGAGAGTCATTCACGGTCCGTCTCGCCGTTCTCCGGGGCTGTCCCCCGGCGCTGCTGCCACGCTGTGCCTTCTGGGTGGAGGGCGGTGGTGAGGTGAGACCTCGGTTCAGACAGAATTAAAAGGACACCAGACCTCTGGCTTTTTAAACAGTCTAATAATCATCGAGGAGGGAATAAATTTTTCTCTTTGAACAACTTGTAGGCAAAAAAAAAAATGCAGCTACAGACTGAACACACAGCCAAATTACCTAAAAGGTACTAAAGTTCAAGTGAGAAAGTACATACTTCCAAAAATACAAAAACAGTTAATAAAGGGAATCCCAAAGTTAAGATCTGCAAAAAAAATCCTGTAGAAAAAACAGAACAGTTACCAAAAAATTGGCTAATTGCCTTCTAAAAGTAAAGAAATATTTCAAATATAATTATGCTTTAGAATAATATTAAAACTACCTTCATGAGAGTGGGAAATTTGTTTTTCTTAAATGTATAATTGCTTAATTGTAAAAGCTACCATTTCTCAAGCATTTACTATGTGCCATACACTGTACTCCACACTTTGATATATATTCTCACAAAACACCTATTTGGTAGGTATTACTATCTCCATTTTACAGATGAGGAAACGGAGTTTCAAAAAAAGTAGTAACCTGCACAAGGTCACCAAGTTAGCAAAAAGTTAAGATTCAAACCCAGATCTGTCTGACTCCAAAGACAACTAACCAAATCGCGCTACCCTATGGGGACTGTTCATGATTGTGGTCAATGCTACTTTTTAGTCCAAGAAAAAAGAGAAACTTGGTATCATTCAAGGTTTGAGGTTTGCACCTCAGGAAAACTGAGGCACAAAGAGACAAACAACTCATCCTTATAACACTGTATTATCTTACTTCAAGGCTAGAATCAGAAATAATTCTTTATAAGAAATAATTCCTTATCTCTCATACTGTAGCTGCAAAAGATAAAGCCAGATACACAAACATTTAGGGTCCAAGAGGTACCTTAGCACAGATATCAAGCAAACTTAAAAGACTGAACTCCTGAATAACAGATAGTAAAAATTCAAATTACAGTCGGTCTTTCATCGGCTAAGATGAGAGTGACAAGGGTACCTGAAATCAGAGATAATTCCATGTACTCACGGGGAGATTAATTTCTACCTCGCACATTTAAACCCTGTATCTGATTCTGAACAAGAGGCAACACTGACTTCCCATTCACCTCCTCCCCCTGACCAGACCTATGGTACCTATGCACGTGCAAACAAACAGGAAAGAGCCAGACAGAGGCTGCAACCAGGAGGCCCAGACCCTGGGAAACTCATAGGACACCATTCGCAGGTGCTTGGGACTTGCCTTGACTCAGAATCCTAAACAACCACACACTAACTGAAGTTTTAAAAGCCAAATATCCCCCAGAGGAGCACCTCTTTCATTTGACCCACTCTGCAAGGATGGAAAAAAGAAGTGACTCGCCCAAAATCTGTACTTCTGCATCTCTTTAAAACCACCTCAGCAGTTTCAAATATGTGTTCTGAATCACTGCACCACTTGCAACTGTACGAAAAGAAAGAAAACATTCCTAGTGGGTTATAAATGCACAAGCAGTATGGACAATATTTACCTTACAGTGAGCTGGACCTTGCTCACGCAAAAGCTTATACTCAGGCTGAATCTTGTTGAAACGGGCTAACTCATTCACAAGACACATTGGGGTTTTCTCTTTAGGGTGTGCCATGTTAGAAGGAACTGAAAAATAATGTAAGAGCATTGAAGTCAACTAGCAGTGGTTGAGACTGCGGCTCTCCAGGGATATGAAGACAGGGAAAGCAAACACAAAGTCTAATGATTCAGAGCAACAGCGATGCAAAACTGCAAACCACACTGAGGGCAAATATCTGAAGACACAGCTGGGATCTTTTCTGAACCAGCTGAAGTCAGGTAACCTAGGAGGGGGGTGTGTCTTCAAAAGAAGGAACAGAAGTCAGAGGAATAACTAAGTCATGGCAAGCACGCAAGGTTTGAAACCAGATGAAGGACTGCGATCATAACCAAGGGAGGACCAGGAGGCCTTCTGAGCAGACACGCACGCACTGGTTACCGCAGCAGCTGTCCGCTGGGCCCAGCTCGTTCCCTCACAAAATGCAGCACGCCAATACCATTCCTCAAGCAAGACTGTCTCTTTCTCCAAACAGCTAATGCTTCTCATTCCTGGGGCATCTTCTCGTCTTATCTCCAGAGGCTGCATCCTCAGACTTTACCTGTCTTTAATAATTATGTAAGTAAAATAAAATGGTCTTGGAGGGCGGGAGTTTTATAAAGTCAACAAAATGTGGATATAAGAACACATTAGAAGAAAAAGCAATTAAATCCCAGAGGACTGAACTAGTCCATGCCATTTCCTATTAAGATGGTATTCAAATGGCAAATATGGGGAACACTGAACCTCTAGTGGACTATGACAAGTCCAGAACGCCATCTGGTGAGCTGGTCCAAGGAAGTCTAGAGGTAGCAGCATGAAAGAGTCTGTGCAGCTGAGAGTGGGACAAGCTAAAACTCTAAGAAGAGAGATACAAAGTAAAGGAAACGAGAGAATGGAAGAGGAAATGCAAGGGAAATGTCAGGCACCAAGGGCTACAAAGAGTTTATTACAAGGTGACTCTAGTATAGAGACACCTATGCTGATAGCCCCTTTAATTGGCTTTGCAACTTGGGAGGAGGAGAGGGGACATTTGGGGAGCAGAATATTGTTTTTAAGGGTTATTATTTCCCCATGGGTTGCAAGTATTTTCCGATCCACGGATATTTTTATTCATTTTTGTTTTCCTAATATTCAAATTTGAGGGCTTCCTTTTTAAACATCTCTGCTGCTTTGTTCAATTTCTCATTGGCCCTCACTGTGATTTCTCAGCTACCTCTGGATGGCAACTTAAACTTACTTAGTCAAAATAAAAATTAGCAAATGCCAACACATTCTTTTGTGTCCCCAAATCTGGCTGTCCCCTTGCTTGGGATAAATCTTACAGACCTCCAAAAAGGGCACTTACACCTACAAATCAGTTCTGGGAAATCATTTTAACAGCAGAATTTTCCCATATAACAATGAATATCCAAAGTGATATTTATTGCTCAATTTTTTTCTGCCAGCTACCAGTTTATAACAGAGTAGGCTTTATAGTTTGATTTCCAATTTTCTTCCCTACACTTTGAAATGGTCTGTAAAAGGCCTCCATCAAGCCAGTATATCATCAAGTGTGTTTTATATCTGGTATTAAGAAGTGTGGGTGGTATACTTTCTCCTGCTTCTTAAAGGTAAATGTACAAGAGCTCCCTGTATCTGCAATCTACTTATCAGGTCAGAAAACAGGCTAAGAAAACATTTGAAACAGAAGACACTTGGATCATACGCTTACCTGCAGCTGCACTGGTGGATGTAACAGATGCAGAGGGTAAAGCAGAGTTTTGAATAGGTCTACCTGCATTTTCAGAGGGCAGAGAGCTAGCAGTAGAAGGAATACTCATCAAAGGCTGTGAGAGAAGAGACTGGTTCTTGTTCAGTATTTGGCTCCCTGAGAGAGCAGCAGATGGGTTCTGAACTTGCACTTGAACTTGAGACATGGTCACTTTCAACAAAAGTGAACAACTGCAGGTAAACAGCTTTCAGTGCAGGTTAATTCAGTGCTATGAAGTCTAAAGTTCTACCTGAAAGTTGTAAGGGAAAGAAAATAAAAAGATAAATTATGGAAGAGATATGTAATTGCCAATATTCAGTCAAAAACTGGTGTCACCTACTCAAGTATGAAAACAGCCCGTTTAGTCTGTAACTGTGATGCACAGTAAGACTCACTAGCTTTGTGAATTTCTCTTTTCCATGGTGTTTCAAAATGACTTACAATGCCCACATACCCTGCATGTCCATTTTACAAAGAGAATCAGCAGGGTATAACAATGCTTATTGTTGAATATTAAGAATTATAAACTGTAGCCTACATTAAAAAATCAAATTAAAAACATGAAGAGGTTTTCCACTGAATATGGGATATGGTAAAGGTTTCTGGGCTCAAAATGATAAGAAACTGGAAGTAAACTGGGTTTGTAACACCATTATTGGTGAATGTAAACACTGCTTCCATTTTCAGGCCATGTACTCAGATTGACACCTTTGGAGCTCTCCTTTAAGTTGACTGAAGAAAGAGAAGAATTCCTCACTTTTGCCATTTCATTTTCCTTATGATGATAAAAGACCTCTTTGTTCTCCCGTGAGGTTTGTTTGAGATAGTCTCATTTATTTACAGGTTCCAAACAAGAATTGTTGCACCCACAACCATGCTCATGGATCCTCAAAATAGCAAAGAACATTCTATAGTATGTTTATTATTAAAAGCAAAAGTGAAGAAGATGCAGAAGAGAGGAACAGATTTCAAGCTGACGATTTTACTAAGGTGGATTGTGGGGGGAGCAGAGAAGATTGTTTACTGTATCTTGTAAGTTCCAAAGGTATTAATTCTAAATACATTTAAATTTCTTCACACGTCAAAAATAAGGACAGTTCTGCTCATTTTCACGGCCATCGTTCAAAAAGCTGAAAATGTTTAAGCAAATCAAAAGTACTCAAAAATAACCATTAAGCAACAAAGAACAGAAAAAGCCAAGCAAGGCAAAAACCAGCAAACAAATGAGAGGTTCTACTATAAAGTAATTTTTGTTACTTTAGTTTTTTTCTTAAGTCTCAAAATGATTTTTAATTAAAGCCAAACCTCTACAAACAGATGAATGACCAAAGCAGATAAGTTCCTTGAAGTCTTGGAACACTCTCCCTTGTGGAAAGCAAAGTGAAAAAGTGAAGTCGCTCAGTCGTGTCCGACTCTTTATGACCCCACGGACTGTAGCCTGCCAGGCTCCTGTGCATGGGATTTTCCAGGCCAGAATACTGGAACAGGTTGCCTTTTCCTTCTCCAGGAGATCTTCCTGACCCAGGGATCAAATCCTGGTCTCCCGCACTGCAGGCAGACTCTTTACCATCTAAGCCACCAAGGAAGCCCTTTGCAGAGAGCAAGAAGGACTACAAAACTCAAAACAAGGCAAAAATCAGAAACAAAAGCACCTTGGCTAAATTATGACTGGTTAATAACAGGTATAAATACTACCTTACATGACAAAATTCTCCAACATTACAGCTTTTCTCTGTTTACTTTTGAAATTAGAACAAAATAACAGAGGAGATGCACTGAAGATCTGGGTAGTGGTCTTAGTAGACAAGCTGCCAGGGTCAAGCAACAAGTCCAGAGCCTTTAAGAAGGCAGCTACAACCTTCTCTCATTTTCAATCAGTTGCCAAAATATAAATATTTCTCTCTCAATCTTCCCTTCCTGCTCTTACTCATTCTCTCCCTCTCTCTCAGCTCTGACCTGAGGGCATTTTTCCACCCTCCCCTGCAAAAAAAAAAAAAAACCACTGAGAACTGTACTCACAATTTCACAACACCAACCACACATCACAGGTCCAAACATAAGCCAAAAGCACAGTGTTTGCTCCAGAGTCTACCTGCATCCCAGAAGAAGCAACCCAACTCTGCCCTGGGCTCTTGAGAGCCTGAGACTGAATGAACTAAATTTAGAAAGGGTGGGGCCCAAAGGGATCTTTTTTGGCTAGCATTCTCTACAGCAGGCCCACTGCCAGCATTTCCAGTGACAGACATAAATTCAAAGGTTTGCTAGAAGTTGAGAAATAGAACAAACAGGATATTAATTAAGACTGCCCCAAAAACGCTAACCTCTGGTACACCTGGAAGTTATATCTTTCAAACAACTGGTTGAAATAAGTAGTTCAAAATTGCAGATAGAAAATATTTTAAACCCCAATAAGGCTCTATATTTTATAATTTTTTAGTTTGCAATATAACCAATAAAAATTCAGCACAGTACTCATTTTAAGTCATTTACTAATTTAACTTTTCTATGTGTCTTTAAGCCTGAAAAGAGAATCTAAAGAAGCAGTTCTAAAGAGGCAATTCTGCTCCCTAAGGACACCTGACAATATCTGGAGATGTCATCTGGCCGTCACATCTGGGAAATGGGAGAACCTACTGGTATCCAGTGGGCAGAGGAGCAAGGGTGCTATTTCTAGCACATATATATGCATTCACAGAATAAAATCTTACTAATGTATGAAGGAGCTTATATTCTCAGAGATGAAAAGAAAATCCCCTTTTCATCTCAAAAGGCTCTGAAATATTGATGCTAATGTTTTACCCAAACACATGCTCCTCCCATAATAGAAGTCAGGCAGCTACAAATAAAGCTTTTCATTACTGCCCTCTATATAGTTCACAGAAGCATTCAGGGGAATCACAGAATTTCAGATATATTATTTCTACATAAATTAACAACCTTTTGCTCAACACTACATGATCCTGAGATTAAATCCTTAAATGAAAACTTACACTTTCCTTTACACTTGTCTTTAAGCATTGTTTTCCATCAGATAAATTTGGGACTTAAAAGATATTTAAATGCTTTATTAGAGTCTTCTTACAAAAGAACAGTATTTCACACACAGGAAAATGAGGTTGAAAAGTTTAAAACACAAAGACTGCAGTTTCCCCTGAGGCTGGAAACACTTGACTGTGAAGCCTGGGCTATGCGGTTCCCTGCCTCCTGCCTCCAGCAAAGATGAGAACCGCGCATCTCCTGGTTTTTTCCCCTAATTGAGGAGCTTGAGATACCAACTGAAGAAACCATTTTCATCCTATTCTCAAATCCTAAATTTATGGACTGCAAATAGAGGACTACAAAACTATGAGTGGTGAGATGACAAGAGTTTGGGGTACCTCTTTTAAAAAGATTCCTAATTCCAAGTCCCCCCAGATCCTTACTTGGGCCTGGCGACATAAAAATCTCATAAAAAACAGGCTCACCTGGCAATTTCCACTTTACAAGTGTCAAGTACTTTTTAATGGGTTGCAGTAAGGGGAATATGGGCACATGAACTATATAAAAGCATCTTGAAAAACTGTACATGATGTGCTAAAAAGTGATCAAGCACAAAATGCACATTCCTAACTCAGCAATGAATCTACCAAAACTGGCCCATACTGAGTGCACAGCCTGAGTGACTTAACACACAAAAAGGCAGATCCTTCTAGAAACAGTTTACAGAGCCACCTACAGTACTGCTTAGTACTAGTCCCTTTCAACTAACAGACTGCTAAATTGCTGCAGTATGAAACACCTACTTCAGCAATTATGGGAAAACATCATTTCTATTACTAATATCCATTTTTTAACAGGATTAACACATAACAATAAAGTGTCCATACTTTTGTGCAATCAACACATCATTCCCCTTTGTAATAAGTGATGTTTCCAAACAAGATGTGTTTTTTTAAAAGAAGGAAGGAAAGAAAAAGAAAAAAGTCATCCCAATTCTGGACAAGCTTTTAAGATCCAAAACAATGCACTAAATATTTCCCCTTCTTGCCTTTATTATTAGGTTGGTGCTAAAGTAATTGCGATTTTGCCCTGTTGAACTTTGCTAAATTTGATACTGGAAATATATCCTTAAATGTAGTTATATTGTATTAATATATCACTTTAATGCATATTTCTCACTTTGATTTTTGCTAATGACATTATTTACTATTTATTTTATATTTACTTTAGACTATGGAAATGATGTTACACAAACAGCAAATTCGAGCAAGTTTTTAATTCAAGTTCAAAATGAGTTGTAAAGCAGTGGAGACAACTCACAACATCAACAATGCATTTGGCCCAGGAACTGCTAATGAATGTACAATGCAGTGATGGTTCAAGAAGTTTTGCAAAGGAGATGGAGAGCCTTGCGATGACTGTAGTGGATGGCCATCAGAAGTTGACAATGACCAACTGAGAGCAAAGCAATCATCAAAGCTGATCCTCCTACAACTACACAAGAGGTTGCAAAGAACTCAACATCTACCATCTACAGCCGTTCAGCATTTGAAGCAAATTGGAAGTGTGAAAAAACTCAGTAAGCAGGGTGCCTTGTGAGCTGACCAGAAATTTTAAAAACAAATCATTGTCTGAAGTGTCATCTTCTCTTGCTCTACGCCAAGAACAAACCATTTCTTGATCAGATTGTGACCTGCAACGAAAAGTGGATTTTATATGACAACTGGCGACGCCCAGCTCAGTGGCTGGACTGAGAGGAAGCTCCAAAGCCAAAGCTGCAGCGAAGAAGGGTCACGGTCACTGCTGGGTGGTCTGCTGCCTGTTTGATCCACTATAGCTTTCTGAATCCTGGCAAAATCATTACCTCTGAGAAGTATGCTCAGCAAATTGATGAGATGCACCAAAAACTGCAATGCCTGCAGCTGGTATTGGTCAACGAAAAGGGCCCAATTCTTTTCCACAACATCCAATTGCAAGTTGTACAACACTTCAAAAAGTTGAACGAATTGGGCTACAAAGTTTTGCTTCCTCCATCATATTCACCTGACCTCTCACCAAACAACTACCACTTCTTCAAGCATCTCGACAACTTTTGCAGGAAAAAAACACTTCCACAACCAGGAGGAGGCAGAAAATGCTTTCCATGAGTTCATTGAATCCTGAGGAATGGATTTTTATGCTACAGGAATAAACTAACTTATTTCTCACTGACAAAAATATGTTGATTGTAATGGTCCCTACTTTGAGTAATAAATATGTGTTTGAGCCTAGTTATAATGATTTAAAATTCATGATCCAAAACCACAATTACTTCTGTGCCAACCTAATACATCCTACATAGTACGGGTACACAGATACGAAGGGTCTGTGCTTCAGCATGACAGAACGTTAGCAATACCAACAGCAATTTTAGGCTGCATTTATTCACTATTCAACAAACTCTATTAAGCCTCTACTACATGTGAACTCTTCTATGGCAGACTGTACATTCGCAAGTGCTAGAAACTACCTGTTAAACTTTTCCTCAAAGACACAAGAAGAGCCCTTTAAGCAACCAACTGTACATCTATTAATCTGTTCTTCACAGCTTCTGAGAGGCTTCACTCTCAGAGAAACTTTGTCAACAACAACAAAAAGCTAAGGAACAAACCACTTTTCCTATAAAAGTCTTGAAATATACCTAAAATACCCACATCATTCCCTTACATCCAACAGGTTACTTCCAAGATCCTTCTCCCAGACTTCTAGCTGCAATGAGGTTATACAATTTTCTGTAAGTGCACTCACTTCCCCAACCACCACCTCACCCTACCTTCGCCACCCCCTACCAGCATCCTCCGGCCCCTACCCCCTGAAAACAGCAGTTCACTGACTCCAAAGGTTCTCCAAACACCTGTAGGCAGAGCACCAGAAGCAGAGAAACACAGCAGTCATTGTCATCCTACATAATCATTTCCAAAAGACAACGTCAAGCAAATCATGTTCAACAGCAGGTCCATATATCAAGTCACACAATAATAAAAGGTTCTTCAAAGGAAATATGACTGAACTACTTAAGAGGAAAAAAAAAAAAGAGGCCGCAATGTACTCGGCGCCCAGGAAAGACACAGGACAAACAGCCATGCTGAGAGGCACAATCACTTGCAAGACAATAAAGTGAGCCAAAAATAATGCCTGGAAACCCAGACTGGTCAAGACCTTTGCACCCAATACAAGTGCCTGACTGCAGCCCCCTCACACAGTTGGCCCAATGCCATGTGGGCAATGGACAACTTTCTTTCCACACAAATGTAACCACTGGGTAGTCCATTTAAAGAAATACTTCCTAAAAGAGAATTCATTATTAACTGTTCATCACAGAAAAGCTATCACACCATACCATATGCTAAAGTGGGGGAAAAAAAGATTTCCTTCTGCAGCCTAGCAAGTTGCAAATCTTTCTTCTCAAGGCTTGAAACCTTATAAAGACCGCCCCCCCCATCTCCCTTCTTCTAGAAGTTAACTCTTTAAAAATAATGCAAACACATTATTTTTGGAAATATGGAAGTGGGTTTGAGAGGTTAGTATGTTTTTTTGGCTATGCAGCGCAACTGGTGGAATCTTATATAATTCACCAACCAGCAACTGAACCGGACCCTCAGTAGTGAAAGCAAGGAATTCTAACCCCTGGACCACCAGGGCATTCCCAAAAAGGAAATGTTTTTCAATCAAAATGAATATCCATCTGTGATTCGCTGGAGATTTTTAAAAGTAGTACTGTGTACCGTATCTTGAATAAGAAGGGGCTTGGTTCAACTCCATTAATTGGCTTTTCCTTTCAGAGAAGAGAAATTTTAGTCTATAGTTTTAGTCTGTGCCTACCTATAAACACAATAGCATTTACCATCATCTTCAGGCAAAACGGACCAGTGCCAAGACTTAAGTTTCTAAGAAACCAGTCTTGCTGCTAAGTGTGTATGCTCAATTGTGTCCAACCCTTCATAACTTCACAGACGGTAGCCCACCAGACTTCTCTGACCATGTAATTTCCCAGGCAAGAATACTGAAGTGGGTTGCCATTTCCTTCTTCAGGGGACCTCCCCAACCCCGGGAACGAACCCACGTCTCCTGCATTGGTAGGCAGATTCTTTACCATGAGCCACCTGGAGGCCTTGTGCTGCTAAGTAGCAACCAACAATGTTAAATCAGATCAAACTTCTGAGTTGTAGCTTTCAGTTCCACTCCCAACTCAGACAGCAATTATTATGTCCAACTCCTGGCAATCCATTGCTTGCTTGCCTCAGTTTGCCCAAAGCACCAGGTACAGGGTCTTTGACAAAGCCTCAGTTGTAGTGATCTGAAAGCTACAGCCCTGAAGGAATCCTGAGGCACCATAGCAGTTACTCAGTTCTTTGAAAAGAAAAGCATTTTACAAATTCAGGGTGATGAGTGCATATATATCCATTTCTCTGGGCTTTGTATAACTCCTCTTAGTTTCTTTTGCATCAATATCCTCATTCCCAAGGAAAGCAAGGGTTCACGTGTCTACGGATCCCCAGGTCAGAGAGAGGGTGTGATGCTGGGCTTTGAGCTCTTAGAGGGAGAGTGCTACAGAGCACAAAGCAGTGTGTCTGCAGTGTCCTGATCAAGGACTGTAAAATCCTGAACACACTTACTGTGAACATTTTTTGGTTGAGACGATCAAAAGCAGCCAGTGGGAAATGGAACTTGTTTTCATTCACAACAGAAAATGATGTTGAATTATTCCCACCAGCTTAAAAACAAAGTTTAGCAAAAATAAAAGGCAAATCTCTAAATCAAAGGCAAACTAAATAAAGTTTCTATGACCAAGATGCTATATTTAATGCCACTTCAGTGGTCAATTTTCATGTCTCTACATTTAAAATACATGGTAGGGCTGGCTAGAAGGTTTCACATTATTTCAACAATTTTCCCTGTATTTACTTTCGAATAAAATCCCAAGTAAAAAGAACTCAAACTGCATAAAGTTTCTTCTGTTTCTCTAATATTATAGCCAGAAGTAAAAGCCATTTGCCACACAAATCACTGAATTCAAAAACATTACAGATTATGAACAAGCCTGAAATTATAGAGCCAAATAATGCATACCTTAAAAACAAGTGCTTCAGCAACAATGTCGTTTTGGTTCAGTTCTGAGAGGTTAAGTGGTTAGGAAACTCCTGGAAAATAAGAAAGCATGGTACTTTACTAAATTTTACTGAAAACAAAGATATATATTGCTAAAGTTTGGGGGAGACTGAAAATTTACAAGAAGGGAAGTTTCTGAAAGCATGAAGTCAAGGCTTGCAGCAGCACACTGTAGCGTCTACTAGAAGACACAAATGCCTGGGAACAAAGCACTTTGCAGACACAAACCTAAGAGACAAGAGAAATTTCCTTTTTAAGTCTTAATTACTTCCTGCTAAGAGAACTATGAATACCTCGGAAATTAAATTTTTTAAAAGGAACTCAAGGGAACTCCCTGGCGGTCCAGCAGTTGGGGCTCCACTGTTTTCAGTGCCTAGGGCTCGGGCTCAATCGATTGTTCACTGGGGATCTAAGATCCTGCAAGCTGCATGGCGTGGCCCAAAAGGAAAAAAAGGGCCTGAACATAAAATACTTTCCAACCACACAAGTCTGATTTTTAAATTTGCAGCCCCCCCCCAGGAGGAGCTAAGATGGCGGAGGAATAGGACGGGGAGACCGCTTTCTCCCCTACAAATTCATTGAAAGAACATCTGAACACTGAGCAAACTCCATAAATTTGCAGCCCCCCTCTTTTAACTACTGGTTAAATATTTTAGGGCATAAATGTCCTTACCATACGCTTGATGATTCAAATGCAATTACATGGGAAAATTTACAAAAAGGCACTCTGTACACAAGTATTCTTATATTAAGCTGCAAAATATGAAAAAACACATTACCTCTAGTAAATCTAAAATCATAATCATTCTTTAGAACTGAATTTCAGGTTAACATACACGTTTAACTCTCAAACTCCCAAGTCTCATTTACCTAGCGGCTCCTCCTCTTTAAATGGTCAACAGTCAGTAACAAACAGAATTCCTTACCTTGAGATGCTTTTTGCATTCTTACAACATAAAATAATTTTAATGTTGCTCATTTCAATTTCACACTGCTACTGTGATTAATAAGCAATAAAAAGTAGCTTTGCTGTCCAACTAATTTCAGAAATAAAATCATGAGTTCTAATTGTTCTACAGTATTTTAACAACCCAAGTTCTTTCTGTAAATAGGATACTACACTAACAATCTTCCAATCTAGAACCCTACTGTTCCGCAGTCTTGCCCATTCAAAGACTAGCATGAACGGAAGCTGAAAAGGCCTGTGCACAGCCCAAACAGATTCTGAGACCACCTAATGGAGCCTGTGACTTTGATCAGTGGGCACTTTCCTCAATTCAAGCCCATCTAAATCTATGCTGAATGCTTTTGGTAGCTTTGGTTTTCCAGCCCAAACCTGAAGTTAAAAAACTAAAATAAGGGATTTTCCTGGTGGTCCAGTGGCTGGAACTCCATGCTCCCAATGCAGGAGCCCTGGGTTTGATCCCTGGTTGGGGAACTAGATCTCATGCTTCCACCAAGAATTCACACATTTCAATGAAAGGTCCCGCATGCTGCAACTAAGACATAGCACAGCCAAATAAATTAATATTTTTTTAAAATTTAAATAGAATAAAGCAGCTGCTATAGATTCAGAAAACAGTGAGAAACAACTGCCAGCAACTTAACAGCAAGGAAAACAGGGGTGGGGGGGCAGTCTACAACCACTTGGATTTCAAACGTCTCACCACACATAAGTGGATAGCTGAGATTCACATACACATTCACATTTTCATGAGCAAACTTTTTCTTTAAATCCCCAACCACTTCCAAAGCCATCATGGTTATTATCAGTGTGTGTTTATAGCAGTCACTCCAAGAAGCAGCAGAGAAGACTATAGGTTAAGCCCAATTCCATTTCTTTCCCACTCAAGAAACACACTAGAATGCAAGAGAGTGAATTAAACTCACTGCTGTATCCAGTCAACTCACTCCTGAAAACCTACTACATTGCAGGCACTATTCTGGGCACTAGGGAGAGAGGAGTACACAGTAAGATGCAGTTCCTGTCCTCACGGGCTTCACATGCATATAGGAACAACCCTGAACCCAACACAAATTTAAATAAATCATTTACAGGAGCATTTTAATTGGTAGCAACATCATTTGTAATACACATTACCTCATCACTAAAGAAGACACAACAAAACATAAAAGGCACCTTGGCTGCAAGACACTGATGTAGGATAAGGGCAAGCTAGCTATCACACAGCTGTTTGGGTGAGGTACAGAAAACTTTTTTTTTTTTAACAGCTTGATTACAGCTCAGAATTTTATTTGGTAAACAAAGGATAGTGCACCCTCAAGGCGCTGAGGGCAGGCCGACCCAGAAGGAGTGGCCAAGAAAGCTCTGGACTGGGGATCTGAGTCTGGGTCTCAACTTCAGTGCTCAGCTGAATCACCCTGAGCAACTTACTCTGTAGGCTCAACCTTTTAATATGTTAAACAGGGTTACTGCCACCAATTTCATATGATTAATAAACCTTAATCATATTATTCCTGGGTGGATTAACTGGTAATGTAGGTGAAATGCTTGTAAACGATGACATGTCACACCAAAGTCAGCTGTTAAACATCACTTTCTTAGGGTACACAGTAACCAACATTATAATACTAATAAATTATGTTTAAGATACAGTATTTGAGAAAGAAAAAAATATATAGGGCTTTCCTGGGGGTCCAGGGGTTAAGAGCCCACACTTCCACTGCAGGGGGTGTGGATCTGATCCCTGCTTGGGGAACTAAGCTCTCACATGCCTTGTAACAGGGCAAAAAAAGATTGTACAAACTTAAAAACAACCTCATCCCCTCCAAAAAATTTTTTTACTTTATTCTTTTTTGATGTTTAATCAATTCTGAGTTAACAGGGAAAAATAGTTCCCTGAAGCAGTCATCCTCTGTTTCAGACTCTAAAGATTCATTCTACTACAAACCAAAAGGTAACTTATTTACCTGACCATATTTGACTGTCATCTAGGTAAAGTGTCATGGAGCTTCAATGAGCAGGTTAAACTGTGCAACAAAGAACATAAGCCTCCAAGAATAATCAGGCTTATTATTACTTATAAATTCTCTTCTAACAGAGGAAAGGACCGCCTCGCATTTTGTACCAAATCACAATGGCAATGGCAGACAGGGGCCCTATTTCTACCAGGATGGAATCTGCAAGGGTAGAAAATTCATGCCTCAGTTAATTTTAATCTATAGAAAGCATGGACTTCAAAAAAGAAAAACTGTGCGAGAATTAGACAAGATCTAGGTAGATCCCAAAGCTCCTGCCTGAGAGGAGCTAATACAGTAACCACTTAAGAAGCATTATCTGCTCACTCCCTTCCCAGAAAAGACCTATTTCCAACACCTTTTCCTGATTAATGAGACACACTTAGAACACCTTGGCTGAGATTAAACACAGAACGGAAACTCAAACACCATCTCGCTGAAAGCCCAAAACCAAAGGCACACTCAGTTTCACTGATCTAGCCTTTTAAGACTAGCCGTAAGAGATGACGACTGCAGAGCTGGAGAACCAAAGAGGCTTCTCATTCAGGGGATCACGGATTCAAAGAAAGTAAAAAAGAAACTGTTTAAGAGGCAGTCCAATACCAAATAGAAAGTTACATTAAATATTCTGAGTACCGTCAGCCAGGAAATGAATGTTAGAAACGGCTGGGAACCAAAGAGGGCAACAGCCCTATAAAGTTAGAGGCTTAGTTAACTCACTTCCAATAAAGCAAAATAACATGACTCTAAAGAAACTAGTTTTCTTAGCAACAATCTTGTCTATAGTTAATCAATCATTTATAATAAACTTCATGAAGGGGGAATTATAGCAGTATTTAGGGAAAGGCTAATGAAACCGCCTCCTCCCCATTTACTTCTAAGCCCTACCCTCAACCTTTGAATCAGCCTAACAGTTTAAGTTGACTGGAGCAATCTATCACAAGAAATAAAAGGAAACTGTAAATCCAAGCTACTTCAAGGAAATGACACAGCATTCATTTAAAAGACTGAGTATTACTAAGCCAGACTTTTTCCCAAATTGGTCTAAACCCTCAGTGAACAAAATTCATCCTAACTGCCGTGGGTGGGAGAACTGGGAAGAAAGCACTGTTGACACACAGAATCAATTATCCTAAACAAAAATCACCTGAGAATAATTAGAGACGGTGTTGCTCAGTAGAAAGAGCTCGGGACCCACTCCAGTAACTGGGCCTCCTGGACAGACCTCAGCACCTCAGTTATTACAACCCTTTACTGCGAAGACAGCTCAGAAGGATCAGAAATACAACATAAAGTGTCCACTTCAACCTCTAGCACAAAGGAAAAGCTCAATGAACAGCAGCTTTTATATTATTAAAAACATTCAATCTGACCTTTCAGATTCCTTTGCTGCATCAAGTAACTCTCACCCTGTAATCCTAACCTGGCACATGGTAAGAGCTCAATAAATAGTAGCAAATATTATTATCCAGCAAATTCACTGATCCTGTCCTCAGTCATAAAACATCTATAAATATAAGCTTACAGTTACATACCACTTGTAAAAAAAACAAAAAATTTTTAATGGAAGTAGAGAACATGCTGATTAAAATCAACCCACACTCACTGGGTAACCAACTGTACCGATACCTCAGGTAGACAGACAATCTGATGAGCAAATATTTTCATTTTGGGAAAAGACCCCAGGGCACTTAAATAGGTTTTCTTAGACTTTGCAGTTCAGTAGACATTTCAAAAGGCTTCTGGGATAATTATGACCTCTATTATATGATAAAACAATTTTCTGTTTTGCTTTCATTACCGTTAAAAACTCACAAAGTCATCACACTTTTCCAAATTAGATTCCAGTTTAAACAGAAGCAGATGGGCTACAGATTTAATATTTAGAAGACCAATTTTTAATTGAAAGCAAATACATTCTTGGATAGATTTTCCTACTTTTGTTTTCAGTAAATATACTTTGAGGGAGTCCCCTGAATATACTCCTTTAACAACTGAACATGTTTTATTTCAGAAAATATAATTAAGTCCGAAGAGAGTTTGCTTCTACCTCCATTTATCTGGTGACACAAATCACTTTACATCAGCCTTATTCACTTCTATGGAAATGTACATATTTAAAATAAATAAGCTATTGGCAGTAATTTCCTCATTCTACCATTTTATTAAAATAAATAATTCTCTTTGATAGTTCAGAGCATTTTTTAGTTCAGAGCATGAAGCTGTCAGCAAAATATATCCAAGCCATCCATCTGGCAGCATTTGTTAAGACCGACATAGCTGCATATTTATAATCTTATTATCTCCTTACGTGAGAAGAAAGGATCTGATCAACATTACTCAAACTTTATAATACTTGATACATGGATAAGCACATCTTCATGCAAAAAGTTCTTAAAACAATTCCCTTTAGGAAGCAAAGTTCTGGGACTTCCCTGGTGGTCCAGAGGTTAAGATTCTAGGTTTCTACTGCAGAGGGCACGGGTTCAATCCCTGGTCTGGGAAGTTCCACATGATGCACAGTGCAGTCAAAAAAATAAAGCAAAGAGTTCTGTAACTAAAATAAAATTTGGAAACAAAGGTCAACAAAGCTCGTGGCTTTCAGGATCAAGGAATACCTTGTAGAATTGTCTCAATTTAAGATTAACTCTGGTAGATAATCATGCTGTGTGCAGATATTATAATTTACTTGGAAATGTACTGAAAATAAAGCAGATTGATGAACTGAAAGAGATGGACAGACAGAAATGGCACGTGATAAAGCAAATACAGTAAAATAATGGCAGAAAGTAGGTGGTAAATATAGAGGTGTACACTGAAATTCTTCAAACTCTGTTATATGTGTGAAAAATTTCATAACAAAATGTTAAGGGAAAATAACCATAGCAACTAAAATGTCTTCTCATGGTTAAATGTATAAATTATATTTTTTGGAACAGCATAAATAAAACCTGGTCAAAACCAAGCATTTAAGGAAAAGCCCATGCAGAAAATTACACCAGAAGCATTTTAACTACAAAGGTCTCTGTCAAAAGAAGTTAATCTGAAACAATCTGTTATAGATCTAATGTGAAACAAAAATATGCTATAAAATTCTCTAAACTTTAAGTGAATCTGCACCAGTACAACTTAACAACAGTAGCTTGTGAACTTCTGATTGAAAACATAATTTTACACAATTCAATGAACACACATATATAACATATATACATATATAAGTGAAACAAAAGTTCTCTAAATAATTTTGGAGGCCCCAAATCTTACTCTGAGAGAAATAAAGCAACTCCAAAAGCTCTCATTTGAGGGAGAGAAATTTTATTTCCCCAAATAGAGCAATTTTTTGTTACTAAGTAGGACATCGAATATGATCCAGTTTGGAGATTCATAAACTAGGCTTCTAGTATTGCTGTATGACATCCTACAGAAAGATACCTTTTTCATGAAAGTTTCATCTTTCTGCTGGTGAATTCCACTCTTTCTCACTCCATCCAGTCAAAGCACATCAGAGAAAATTGCAGCACAAGCTGAGACCCACTCTATGCCTCCACCCATCGTCAAGTCTTATTGGGGAGAAACTCTGGATAAAGCAGCACGCTACAGCCCAAGTTTAATAATTACATCCAGAATGTTAATGGCTTAGACTTCAGAATGGGGGGGGGGGGAGAGTTCCATGAGTCATGCTCATTTCTGAACTTCAGATAATCTGTATATAAACAGGCTTTCTGGCCGAATCTTAAAAGCGAGCACTTTAGTCTGAACAAACAGTAACAATTCCAAATATTGAAAAGTTTTACTTAACACCTACTGGGAAGCACTACACATTTTTTTAAAATAAGCTATATTTTGTGTCCTTTCTTAGATATCAAAATGGTTGGGCTTCCCCCCCTCCCTAATTTTAAGAGGCAGACATATTCCTGCTCATCTCCCAGGTTGTAGTAACTAACAGGTAAATTAACTGATTAAGCTCAAAAGTAAATTTGAACAATTGAAATAATGATGTGACAGGTCTACAAGTTGAAAACTGTTCATAACCAGAAATTTCAAAAGTAACAGTAACACACACAATATTCCTGTCAACCTCCATTCTAAGAGAGATCTCTTTTCAGATGAGAAAGAAAAACATGAATATTCATGCTGTGAATTCATTCTTATTTACAAAATTGGTTTGTAAATACAGCAGATTGTGGGGAGTGGCCATCTTTAAAAAATAATGCACAACAGTTTTGAAATAAAATATCCTTTGCTTAATTCTTAACCTAAGGTGACAGCAGTATGTTTACACAACTACTGTAAAGAAACTTTGGAGGTTTCATAATGAATTATTAACTGTACTTTAACTTTGACACAAAGCTTTTCTCCATTAAAAGTGGTTTAACAGGCAGGCCTCCACCAAAACCAGATTAGGGATATCAGTATTCCTGATTGCTTTTCAATTCCAGTCACTAACAGCCCAAGAACTGCTGCTATTGCACACGAAGGAGCAGGGCACATTTCGATGCGTCTGAGGGTGGTTACTCCCCCCCCCCCCCCGATATACAGTAATCATGTATAAACAGCGATAAGAACCCCAACAAACAGAATGAGAACTATGATTCCACTAAAAGTAAACCTTGTGACAGATTAAGAGCCTGGGGCAATCTGGTAAAATTGTATGATATTTGGGATTTATTTCAAAATAGCCCAGTTTGGGGGAGGGGGTGCTACATGAAACAAGACTGACCTTGGCTATGAGTTAATAATTATCAAATGTGAATGATCAATTCAGGAGGTTCTCTATACTATTCAACTTTTATATGTTTTCCATAATAAAATTTTTTAATTAGATTATCAACTGCAGGGTTAAAAAGTCATTTCCCTAACACTACAATTTTGAATATGCCAGAAGACATGGTTTGTATTGCCTGTATAGCTGTTTTTAGAGAGTCATCCAAACAAAGACTCCATACTATCTCTTGGATGTAAGACTGTGTCAGAAAATTCTATGAAAACGTCAAAATCCAGGAGGCCACTTTGCATCTGGTGTGTTACTGAGAGATGGGTGTAAATCAAGAGAGTTTGAGTTCAGAAGGAAATGTACCACCTAGAACAATCCTATGATATAGGAGGGTCAGTCAGCAGAGCAAACACACCTTTCTCACTCTTCCGCAAGTTAGAACCCCCATAAACTAAGTTTCGTTAATGAAGGGGACAACTGTACAACTGAAAACAGAATTAAAGCAACTCAGTATCTTCAAATCAAGCTGCTGTTTTAAAAATCCCACTTGTTGGAAGGAAGGCTAAGGAGGGAAGGGATATATGCCCACATACAGCTGATTCACAAGCTTGGACAGCAGAAACTAACACAACCGCTGGAAGCAATAATGCTCCAACTGAATCACCACCACCACCAAAAGAAATAAAAATTAAAAACTAAAAATCCCACCCGTGACCAGGATGACTGAAGCTCCCTCCACCATCCCATTGTATTTTTAGCTTTGACTTCAACAAGCTGCAGTGCAATCTACCTTTGGTAAGCCCACTGATTCCTGGAAAGTCCAAAATCAACCAAAAATCTGGTCTCTTTCCAGCACCCTCTAAACGATGAAAGCGACAAGCAGAAGGGCAAGAGTGACCTTAAAAACGTCCCCAGAGCCAGAGAACACAGGCAGAACAGACCGAAGCACACATCTTCGCCCGAACAGAAGAAACCTTCCTCACACGCAACTCTGCAACACCGAGGAGGGGCAAGGGCTTAAAAGCAAAGCCGGCCCGCGGGGACAGAGGGGACTTAAAAGCAAAGCTGCCGTGAGAGAAAAAAAAAAAAAAAAAAAAGTCAAAAGTTAGCGATGCAGCGGCGAGAAAAGACATTTTTCCAGCTCCGGGCACGGACACCCTCCCTCCAGAGCCTGGCAAACACAGCAAGTGCTCCAGAATGGTTTGCTAAACTCAAGGAAACTTTCCCAGAAATGGAATGACAAGAAGAAGCCGGACGATGGGTAGGGGGAAAGAAAGAAAAAACAAAACAAAACAAGGACTGGTTGCTCAAAGACTTGAGGGAACTGGTGAAAATCTGCAGTGGACTCAGCAGAGGAGATGGAAATAACACTTATCTTTCAAAGACTGCCGGCTCACAGTGTCCCCACGAAACGGACGCCCCTTTTAGATGCTGACCACCCCAAAACAGTGCCCATGGGGCTGGCGGTGGGCACGAAGCTGAAACGTTTCCCCCTCTAAGAAAACCCAAAACGGGTAGGTAGGTCAACTCTGGTCCAATCTCTCTACCCATTAAGTTAGACCCTAATATCACGCTAATAAACTATGCAGGCGGTGTATTGGGACACGCTGTGGGTCTGGCACCCTGATAAGAGCTTCCCACGCCCCGTTTCACTGAACTCTACCAGGCTTCGGAGACAGGGACGGCATTCACCCCCTTTTTTTTTTTTTACTAACCAAAACACAAAAGACTTCCAGCGACTTGCCGAAGGGAGGGGGACAGGGCTCGGATTTGCCCCCCAATCCCCGCGTCGGACACCTGGGCCACGCTCGTATCACGCTCCACATCCGGTTGAGGTGATCTGGGTGCCCCGGATCCCCCAGGGACTGGAAGCGGGGGGACCACCCCCCCACCCTTCCCGCCCCGGCCCCGGGAATAACTTCGGCAACGCCGCGCGAGGAAAAGGAACGAGGCAAGGCGGCGTGGCACCTGTTTTCTGGGCCCCCCAGCGCCGGACGGAGGGGCTGGGGGTGTCCCGGGGTCCAGGCCGCGCGGGGCGCCCCGGGGCTGGGGGGCGCGGAAGAGCCCGCCTCCTCCGGGAAGGCCCAGCGGGCGGGAGAGAGAGGCCCGGGCGGGGGGTGGCGGGGAGCAAGGCCGAGCGCGCGCGGGCCCGCCGCGGCCTAAGCCCCAGGCGCGCGACCCACCGGCCCCCGCGGCCCCGTCAGGCCCGGCCGTCTCACCTGGCTGCTGCCCCGGGCTCGTCCCCCGGCCGGCGGTCCTGGGCGGCGGCGAAGAGGGGAAGGAGGAAAAAGGAAGGAGGAAGGGGCAGAACGAAGGGACGGCGGGTGGGGAGAGGCGGAGTGGCAGCGAAGGAGGCGGGCGCCGCCGGGCCGGGGGTTCTGAAGGAGGCGGGGAGCCGAGCCAGACGCGGCCGCCGCCGGCGCAAACGCTGAAGAGCCGCCCCGGCGCCCGCAGCCCCGCAGGAAGTGACGGGGGAGGGGCCTGCGCCAGCCCTCCCGGCCCCCGCCCGTCTCCGTGCCCAGCCCCACCCCCACCCGCGGCCCAGACTACAGGTCCCGGCGGGCGCTACGGCGGCCGCCGTCACGTGAGGCACGACGGGAGCCGGGCTGGCTGGAGCCGGGCCGACCCCGCCTGGGCCTCCTCGGCCGGCCCTAGGCGCCCGAGGCCTGCTGGGAGTTGTAGTCCTCTGGGGGGCGGGGGAAGGTGTGGGTTGCCCGCTGGAGCGGAGCGGAGGCTAGGCCTTCCTTCTTTCTTCCTTCCGCTTCGTTCTTCTCTTTTCCCGTTTCCGTCTTCGTCTCCGAAGTGCGTTACTCCCTTCTCGCCTGTCAATTCCTCTTTTCATAAATGTTTATGAAACGCCGACTGCGTGCAGAGCACTGCTCCGAGGGCTGAAAATATAGTGGTGATCAGACAAAAACCCCTCCCCTCATGGAACTCACGTTCTAGGGAGGATAAAACACAATAAAAGCACCAACTTTTATAGTGAGTTAAAAGGCAAAAAATAAATAAATAAAAGGCAAGAAGGGCCGGGTTTTTAGTTCTTTCGCCGAGTTCTAAATGAACTAAGTAGTGTTTTGCAGCCCTCATATGAGATTGAGATTTGCGCATGGGGAACGTTGGATCAGACGCAGTCAAGAACTGCACACGTCGTGGGAGGTCGAGGGAACAGTAAGCGAAGGGACTGCTGATGTCCAGGCACGTTCTCTCTTGCTTACTGTAGGACTGCGTCCTTACTATTTAAAAATAGTTTCTCTATCTTTCTGTCAGTATCTCTCAATCTAACTATTGCTCAATCTCTCTTGCCAGGGCAATATAGTTTAATTTGCATGAGTTCATGATATCAAGTGGCTGATGGGGCTGCTCCAAACAGTGCTTTGGGACCTTGTCCCAGACATAGATAGAGGACTCCCTTTTCTGGATCGGGCAAGCCTCCTGACTTTGCACCTTATAAAATACAAGGAAGGACCTACGTATAGAATTCCATGTATAGCACATGGAATTCTACTCAATGTTATTTGCCAGCCTAGATGGAGACAGGGTTTGGGGAAGAATTGATACATATATATATGGCTGAGTCCCTTCCCTGTTCACCTGAAATTACCACAACATTGTTAAATCAGCTATGCCCCAATACAAAATAAAAAGTTTAAAGTTAGGGGAAAAAAGAAAATAATTCAAAAACAGTTGCAATAACAGCTTGTTGATGAGGAAGTAATATTGAGTTAAAAATTTTATTGTTTTTCCCCATTGATCTAAAAAAGTGACTTTTATCTCTCTTGTTATTTTCCTTACTTATAAACTGTATATAAAATAATAAATTAGCTAAATAAAAAGGCACTTTTATGCATCTTAAAAAAAAAGGAACCTGAATTTTAGGACACCAAAAACAGTCAAAGGAACTTCACTGTCCGTTTAGTACCCATGTAAGACAGTACTAAGCAACATTCAGATATTGTCCAGCCCTCTGCTAAAGGTGAATTTTTTTTTCTACTTTCTAATTTTCAAGCAAGCTGGATCCTATCGTTCACTTGGGTAAAAGAGCACAGAAAGGTTTCCTTAAACCCAATGCTGAGGTCTCTGCATAATCAGACAATCTCTTCAAAGGTTTAAAAGTAGAAGGTAGCATTCTGACCCACTGTACTATCACCCCTTGTGACCCAGGTGATTGGCCCATGACTCTCAGTCTCAGCTTTCTTCCTTCCTATGTATTGAGGGGGATATTTCTCTTCCCATCCCCCAGCCCCAATGCAGCCCTTGGATGTTATCCAGTGCCTTGAGCCTCAATACAGCTGGGCCTCTGTTTTCCTCTTGGTTAAATAGGAACAAGTTCCCATTTGACCTGGGGCTCATGAGAATTAGTAGTTTGAAGACACCCTTTCTCAGCTTCCCCATCTAAAGACTCATAGGACTCACCTTAGTCTTATAAAGAGTTAAGTATGCTGCTCTGATCAGCGAAGGTGACTAACGGCTCTTTGTCTCTTTTTGGCTATGCTGTGTGACTTTCAAGATCTTAGTTCCCTAGCCAGGGATTGAACCCGGCTCACTGCAGTGAACGGACAGAGTTCTAACCACTGGACGGCCAGGAATTCCATCCTCCTTGATTCCTTGAAAAGATATCAAGCCTTTTCATTTATCTATTTTCTAACTGATACATGAAATAATAGGCATGATCTTTAGATAAAAATCAACTTCTCACAGGACCTTCATGAGCTCTGCAAGTTCCCATTCCTTATTACAAATACATATAATGTAAATTCTGGGAAGGAATACACAGGATTTAATGTAATTTAAGGTCACAATTCCTTACTTCCATCTTCTTCCTAAAGAAAAATAAGTAATTCCTAAAAATAATTTTTTTCTTTTTAATAATTAGGCAAGATTCAAGTCTTCTGGCCCTTGGAAGAGAATTTGACTGACAGTCTCTAGGTACAAATAGAGAAAAACAAACACAAGTGACCCACTCCTGAACCCTACCCAGCCAGCCTACAGCTAACCTGTGCCTCAGTTAAATACAGTTCCTTGGTTATGCAAAGTGAGAGTTCAAAGTTGTTCTAAAAAAACAAGGAGTATCAAATCTTCAGGTGATTGTTGTTTATCTTTTCTCTCCTTTTCTTTCTTCTGGTTTTTAGTTTTAATTTGTTGCTGTCATTGTGAAGTCAGTCAGTCCTGTCTGACTCTTTGCAACCGCCTGGACTGTAGCCTACCAGGCTCTTCCATCCATGGAATATTCCAGGCAAGAGTACTGGATTGGGTTGCCATTTCCTTCTGGGGATCTTCCCAACCCAGGGATCGAACCCGGGTCTCCCGCATTGCAGGCAGACACTTTACAATCTGAGCCACCAGGGAAGCTGTCATTGTAACATTCACATAATAATCTGGGTTTGTGTCATGTCATTTCCTTAAAAATGAGGCAGATTTGGGACTTCCCTAGTGGTCCAGTAGGCTAAGATTCCACACACGCTATACTGGGGCCCGAGTTCTATCCCTGGTGGAGATACATGCCGCAACTAAAGACTCCAAGTGTCTCAACTAAGACCTGGTGCAGCCAAATAAATAAATAATAAATTTAAAAAAAAAAAAAAAAAAGGAGGCAGCTTTGGCTGCACAGAGCCTGTGGAGTGGTACCTGTGCCCTAGAGATGAGTACTTTTATTTCACCAAAACCCCTGCCCTCCCTGCATCTGTCATTTATGTTACTCCCCTGTTCCTGTTGATGTTTGAGTTTACAATACCTTGCCTACATTATAACTGCATGGACTGAATGCTGGTCTATGGAGCTGAAGACTTGTCAGAAAGACAAGTGAAAGAATCTCTAAGTGCCACTGTGACAAGTACCAGCGGTGCCTGGTGTTATGGGGGCATTATGAAATCCCAGTTTCAGGGTTTGGGGAGTGGAGCCTCCAGAAGTGTTGTAGCTTTACCAAGATCCAAGGGGACACGTAGGAGGTCACCAGGGAAAAGCAGTACAAGTGTTTTAAGTAGGAGGGAAAGCATCTGCAAAGCTCTGTGTGGGGACACGTGGCCCGGGTCCTCTTACTACACTGCCAGACAAACCCATCCCAAATTTAGTAGCTTGAAAGAACAGCAATCATTTTATTATCTCTAGTAGATCTGTGGGTCTGGAATTTGGAAGGAGCTTAACCAGGATCTTCTAATTTGGGATCTCTAGTGTGAAACGGACCACTGGGGGATAGAGTGCCTGGATGCCGGCTGGGCCTCTGGAAAGCCTATCCGTGTGATCGATCTCTCAATGGGCTACTTTGAGCTTCCTCACAGCATGGCAGCCTCAGGGCCATCAAATTGTTTACTTGGCAGCTGAAGGCTTAAAGAGAGAGGATCCCACAGAGCAAGGCGGAGCACCGAACAACAACAAGAAGGCAGACCTACACTCTTTATCTGCCTGAGCCTTGGACGGCACATAGAGCCACATCCACTGTAGTTCACTTGTTGTTCAGTCACTCAGTCCTGTCCGACTCTTCACAACCCCATGGTCTGCAGCAAGCCAGGCTTCCTTGTCTTTCACCATCTCCCAGAGCTTGTTCAGACTCATGGCCACTGAGTCAGTGATGCCGTCCAACTTCTCATCCTCTGTCGTCCCCTTCTCCTCCTGCCTTCAATCTGTCCCAGCATCAGGGTCTTTTCCGATGGGTCGGCTCTTTTTATCAGGTGGCCAAAGAATAGGGGCTTCAGCTTCAGCATCAGTCTTTGCAGTGAATATTCAGGGTCGATTTCCTTTAGGATTGACTGGTTTGATCTCCTTGCTGTCCAAGGGACTCTCTAGAGTCCTCCAGGACCACAGCTCAAAAGCATCAATTCCTCAGCACTCATTCAGCTCAGTTCAGTCACTAAGTCGTGTCCGACTCTTTGCAACCCCATAAGCAGCAGCACGCCAGGCCTCCCTGTCCATCACCAACTCCCGGGGTCCACCCAGACTCATGTCCATTGAGTTGGTGATGCCATCCAACCATCCCATCCTCTGTCGTCCCCTTCTCCTCCTGCCCCCAATCTTTCCCAGCATCAGGGTCTTTTCAAATGAGTCAGCTCTTCGCATCAGGTGGCCAAAGTATTGGAGTTTCAGCTTCAGCACCAGTCTTTCCAATGAACACCCAGAACTGATCTCCCTTAGGATGGACTGGTTGGATCTCCTTGCAGTCCAAAGGACTCTCAAGAGTCTTCTCTAACAGCACAGCTCAAAAGCATCAATTCTTCTGTGCTCAGCTTTCTTTATAGTCCAATTCTCACATCCATACATGACTACTGGAAAAACCATAGCCTTGACTAGGTGGACCTTTGTTGACAAGGCAATGTCTCTGCTTTTTAATATGCTGTCTAGGTTGGTCATAACT